ACATGATACATTAAAAAATCCTAAAGACACCACCAAAAATCTACTAGAGCTCATCAATGAACCTGGTAAAATTGCAGGATACAAAATTAATATACAAAAATCTGCTGCATTTCTATACACTAACAATGAACTATCAGAAAGAGAAATTAAGGAAACAATCTCATTTACAATAGCATCAAAAAGAACAAAATACCTAGGAATAAATCTACCTAAGGAGGTAAAAGAGCTGTACTTGGAAAATTGTAAGACACTGATGAAAGAAACTGAAGATGACACAAACAGATGGAAAGATATACCATGTTCATAGACTGGAAGAACTAATAATCTTAAAATGACCATGTTACCCAAGGCAATCTACAGGTTCAATGTAATATCTATCAAAATACCAAAGGCATTTTTCACAGAACTAGAACAAATAATTTTAAAATTTGTATGGAAACACAAAAGACTCCAAATAGCCAAAACAATCTTGAGAAAAAAGAACACAGCTGGGGGAATCATGCTTCCTGACTTCAGACAACACCATGAAGCTATAGTAATCAAGAGTATAGTACTGGCACAAAAACAGACACACAGATCCATGGAACAGAACAGAGATCCCAGAAATAAACCCATGCACTTATGGTCAATTAATCTAGGACAAAGGAGGCAAGAACACACAATGAAGAAAAGACAGTATCTTAAATAAGTGGCACTAGGAAAACTGGACAGATACATGTAAAAGAATGAAATCAGAACATTCTCTAACACCATGTAGAAAAAATAAACTCAAAACGGATTAAAGACCTAAATGTAAGACCAGAAACCATAAAACTCCTGGAAGAAAACATAGGCAGAAGACTCCAACATAAATTTTAGCACTATTTTTTTGGATCTGTCTCCTAAAGCAATGGAAACAAAAGCAAAAATAAACTAATGGAACCTAATTAAACTTAAAAGCTTTTGCACATCAAAAGAAACCATCAACAAAATGAAAAGACAACCTACTGAATGGGAGAAAATATTTGCAAATGATATGATCAATAAGGGGTTAATATCTAAAATATATAAACAGCTCATATAACAACATAAAAAAAAAAAAAGTCCAACAACCTGATTAAAAAATGGGCAGAAGGTCTGAATAGACATTTTCCAAAGAAGACATCAGATGGCCAACAGGCACATCAAAAGATGCTCAACATCGTTAATCGTGAGGGAAATGCAAATCAAAACCACAATGAGATATCCCCTCACACCTGGCAGAATAGCTATCATCAAAAAGAACACAAATAACATTTGTTGGTGAGGATGTGGAGAAAAAAGAACCCTCCTACACTGTTGGTGGGAAGTACATTGGTGCGGCTACTGTGGAAAACAGTATGAGGTTTCCCAAAAAACTAAAAATAGAACTACTATAAACCCAGCAATTCCACTCCTGGGTATATATCTGAAAAAAACAAAAACACTAAGTCAAAAAGATTCATGCACCCCAATGTTCATAGCAGCATTATTTACAATTGCCAAGATATGGAGGCAACCTAAGTGTCCAACAACAGATGAATGGATAAAGAAGATGTGGCACACACACACACACACACACACACACACACACATGCACACAACGAATGAGAGATAATACGTGTTGGCAAGGATGTGGAGAAAAGGGAACCCTTGTACACTGTTGGTGTGGTCACTATGGAAAACAGTATGGAGGTTCCTCAAAAAATTAAAAATAGAACTACTATAAAATCCAGCAATTCCACTTCTGGATGCTTATCCAAAGAAAATGAAAACACTAACTCAAAAAGATATACACTACCCCAAGTTCATTGAAGCATTATTTACAATAGGCAAACCATGAAAACAACCTAAGTGTCTACCAATGGATGAATGGATAAATACTGAATATAATGTGATTGATACATACACACACACACACACACACACACACACACAACAGAATATTATTCAGCCTTAAAAAAGAAGGAAATCTTGCCCTTTGTGACTACCTTGATGGACCTTGAGGGCATTATGCTAAGTGAAATAAGTCAGACAGAGAAAGACAAATACAATATGATCTTACTTATATGTGGAATCTAAAAACACCAGAAAACAAAAAACCCAAGCTCACAGATATAGAGAACAGATTTGGTGGTTACCAGAGCTGGGGCATTGGGGGTGAGGGAAATAGGTGAAGGGGTCAAAAGCTGCAAGCTTGCAGCTATAAAATAAAGAAGTCATAGGGATGCAATACAGCATGGTGACTGCAGTTAATAATATTGTAAGAAAAAGAAACTTAAAACAATCAATTCCGTACTTATACAAATTCCCCCAAAGAGCAAAAAGTTGCGTATACCCTACAACTCACATAATGAGACGAGTGTAACCTTGATACCAAAACTAAAGAACAGCATGAGAAAGGAAATATACAGGGCAATCTCCGTCACGAACATAAACAAAAAATCCTAACTGATATGTTTGCAAATCAAATCCAGCAATGCATTAAAATACAATGCACCATGAACAAACTGGGTTTATTCCAGGAATTCAAGACTAGTTCATAACCATGTAATTGTCCATATAAACAGAAAAAGTTGGAAAAATTATAAGATCATCTCAGATGCAGAGGAGACATTTGATAAAAATCAACAACTAACTATTATTTAAAATAAAACTCAACATATTTTTTAAAGCAGAAAGAATGCAAAGATGACCACTACACGGCTCCTATTCATTACCGTTCCAGAAGTTCTAATAACAAAATGAGAAAAAAGAACTAAAAGATGTAAGGATTACAAAGAAAGAATCACAATTACTACTACTTGTAGATGATAAGATTATCTTCATTAATAACACAAAAGTGTACAAATTAGGATTAGAGTGTAGCCAGGTGGTTCTTATAAGATCACTTTATAAAAATCAATTGTATTTCTATATACTGCAACACAGGAAATATTATTAAAAGTTATATCACTTACAACAATAATAAAAGAATACAAGGTACCTAGAAATAAACACAACAAAAGATATGCCAGACTCTTATGAAGAAAATTAGAAATGTTACTGAAAAGCATTAAAGGAGATCTAAATACTGTAATGGAGAGAAAGGTGATGTTTCCAGATAGGAAGATATCATCAAAGAGATGTAAGTTCTCCTGAAACTGATGGACAGATTCAATTCAATTCAACCCAAAATCCCAACAGAGTTCTTTGTGAATTTTTCAAAGCTAATTTAAAAACCTATGTGGGGGGCTTCCCTGGTGGCACAGTGGTTGAGAGTCCGCCTGCTGATGCAGGGGACACGGGTTCGTGCCCCGGTCCGGGAAGATCCCACATGCCGCGGAGCGGCTGGGCCCGTGAGCCATGGCCGCTGAGCCTGCATGTCCGGAGCCTGTGCTCTGCAATGGGAGAGGCCACAACAGTGAGAGGCCCGCGTACCGCAAAAAAAAAAAAAGAAAAAAAAAAAATCCATGTCCACCTGGAACCTATGAAAGTGACTATTTGGAAATAGGGTCTTGTAGATGTAATCAAGTTAAGATGAGGTCGTACTGGAATAGGGTGGGCCCTCAATCCAATGACTGGTGTCCTTATAAGAAGGGCCTGTGAAGACAGACACAGGAATGGCCCTGTGACAATGCAGGGAGAGACGAGAGTAATGCTGACAAAAGCCAGAAAATGCCAAGGACTGCTGGCCACCATCAGAAGCTACGGAGAGGTGAGGAAGGATTCACCCCAGAGCCTCCAAAGAGAACACGGCCCTGCTGACACCTTAATTTTGGACTTCTAGCCTCCGGAACCATTAAAGAATAAATTTCTCTTATTTCAAGCTACCCTGTGTGTAGTACTTTGTTACAGTAGCCCTAGGAAACTAATACGGTATTGAGTCCTGAAACAGAAATGAAGGATTTTGGCTCACCTCCCACAAAGAAAAAACATACCACTTATTTCGCTACGGCTGAATAGTCATCAGCGCATTCCAAGACTGTTTGATGTGGATTTTCCAAGAACACAATTTAGTAGTGCGTTATTGAGGGATCATGTTTACAAGTGAACAAAACGTAACTAAAGCAGGCTTTAACTAACTAAAAAGGTCAGTGGAGGATGAGTTATATTAGTGGGTCCTGACTTCCAAGAAACGTAAGAACCACCAAGACAGGGCCCATATGGAAGCAGCTCTGGAGTCAATGAAGGCAGGAGTCACCATCTGGTTTCCCATCTTGTTCTTCCTGTGGATGAACTTCATTCTTTTCTCTAGCTGCAGTCTGTCTTTAGCCAGCAGGTGAAAACATGACTGCTGGCAGCTTCCAAGTTTTCTTTTACAGAGTTGAACCCCTGAAGAAAGACTACTTTCATTTTCTGGGTCCCCAAGTCCAAAAAGCCTGGAGGAACACTTTGAGTGGCCTGAGCTGGTTCGCCTGTCCACTCCTGAACTACCTGTTGGAGCCCTGTGGCCGGGCAGGTACCAGAGAGAGGAATGGATGGAGACGATCTAACAAGGAACAGCTCTAGTTTCCTTCCTGATTAAGGAGTTCCACTTTTTTCAATTTACCCTAAATTCTGCTATAATGCTAAAACGAAGGGAGCAACCAGGAGCAGAGAAGTAATTTTAAAGGCAGGTACAGATACAATTGGAAGAATAAGAAGTAGTAATAGATAAATCAAATTATCAATACACGTAATACACTGATAAAGAACTTTAACGAAGAACCAATAAGCACGTGAACTGGATGCTTTCTGTAAGTATAAATAAAACAATTTTCACAGTTGGAATTACTGAGAAACAATTTTCTCTATTTAAATAATAGAAGAGAATATAAGAAATCAAGCAACCATTTTGATTTGAAGATTTATTTTAAAGCAGTTTTTATATTTGGGTAGTAAAAGAACTATATTTCATCAGCAATAAACAGTTGACTGCATTGTGTGAGCAGGGCACTGAAGGGTCATGAGATTGTTTCTAGAGAAAATTAAATTCAATACATAACTTGTAACTTTTCTTAGACATAGAAATTACCACTTACCATAGCACTGGGGTTTCTATCAGCTCGATTTCCTTCAAAAGAATTTATTTTATGGGCACTCATTTCATCAGTGTCAGCAATGATATAATGTCTAGGAGAGTAAGCATCGGACAAGTTCTCAAGCAGCCTCAGGATCTCAGTGGTATGCCCACCTGGAAAAAAATATTGGAAGGCTTGAGATTCAGAAACCGGTAATGGACACATCCATCTGACTACATAATACTAATACTATGCTTTGTGTATTTCTCAAAATACAGAAGGAATATTTGGAAATGATAATCTATGCCCTTGTATAAATACTACCTTTATATGGGGGAAGAGGATAATAAATGTATAAAAACAAAATCAGCACCAGCAGTCGGTTGTGCTACTGTACTACCTGAGGAAGGTACTACAAGACACAGATCCTGTTATCAAGAAGTCTGGTGGGGGGCTTCCCTGGTGGCGCAGTGGTTGGGAGTCTGCCTGCCAGTGCAAGGGACACGAGTTCGTGCCCCGGTCCGGGAGGATCCCACGTGCCGCAGAGCAGCTGGGCCCGTGAGCCATGGCCGCTGAGCCTGCATGTGCGGAGCCTGTGCTCCACAGCGGGAGAGGCCACAACAGTGAGAGGCCCACGTACAGCAAAAAAAAAGAAGTCTGGTGGGGAAGGGACAAGACACACAGATATACAAAGAGCGACGCAAGACAGCAAGAAAAATTAAAATGGGGTTTGGGGGAGGGAACAAGCAAAAGGTTATGAAAAAACAATGTCCTAAGCATAGGGGAGATCCCTGGTAAAGGCTGAAATGACTTGAAAGGTGCAGCTAATGGACAGATATGAGTAGGGAGGCCACTGGGTGGGGGTGGGATTATTAGGACAGGAGAAGGTAAGATCTGGGATGGGTGATCAAGGCATGGTGGGAACACTGGAAAGAAAGAGGAGAGTGAAGTAAGGTCAGGAAAGTAGGCTGGAAAATGGGAAGACAGTTGCTGAAGGTGTTGCGAAGTAACATCAGGGAGGCATGAGCACTGACTCCCAGGGCTCAGATCTTCCTAAGGAAGACTTTTGTTCAACTGCTCCTAACAGAGGTCTCAGACCTAACAGAGGTCTCAAATATTTACCAGCTTCACCCAACAACTGTGTGTTCAATTTCTGAAATTGTACAATCTCCAAAATTTTCATACTTTAATTTTAAAACCATGAATTTTAAAACCAACTGTGTTCACTGAGTTTTCCTTCTGGGGAAAAAACCCAAAAGAACATTTACCTATTACATTAACTATATACCAATTAAGCAAAGCAATCAAACTCCTTAAGAATGGGCCTTATTATACCTATTTAATTTAACTGCATGATCCCCTGGCCTCAGCCGGGTTGATGTCTTTAACATTCTCTGTGGTCATCTCATTTGTTACCTCTTCAATGTCTCTGGTCACACTACAAAGCTCCCCCGACTCACCTCCCTTACTGTTGCAAGAAAGCTTTCAATAGTGATACAGTGAACATATAGGATAATCAAACAAATTATGTGTTTTCTCCAAACGCATATATTTTCTTATAGTAGAAAGGGAATGATTACTCTCTAGATCCCAGAAGGAATTAGATATAGAAATAAAGTCATCAGAGAGTAAGTATAACAGGAATTAGAATCATGCTTTAACTTTGTAACTTGTCAGCCATCTTCTTATGTAGGGCAAGCAATTTACACATCTTATACTCATTTTATCATTTTTGTTTTTAACTTTGAAAAAGTGTGGTTTGCAAAGTAGGTACTTGTTTTCAGAGCTGGAACAATTACGGATAAATCCGAACATATACATCTTCCACTGCTATTAAAACTTCATTTTACCTGCTTTAACAGTCTTTTCTTTTTTCCTTAAAAGGAAACCCTTTTCCCTTAAAAGGAAACTGAATACATTCTTTGAAAAATTAACTGTTACTGAATAAATAAATAATAAGAGCTTCATCTTGCATTTTACGTTTTTATTAAGACTTATCCTTTGGGAATGAAATCTTCTCAGTTCTATCTTAAAGTATATCCAGAATCCAATCACTTCTCACCACCTCTTTTGCTAGCACCCTGCTCCAAACCACATCACTCTCACGTGGATTATGACCAAAGCTTCCTGGCCTGTTCCCCTCTCTGCACTTGTCCATTCAAGTGTCCACTTGAGTCTACTCTCAACACAGCCTCTAGACTGATCTTCTTAAAAAGAGTTGATCAAATTATTTACCTCTGCTCAAAACCCTCCAAGGGCTCCCCTTCTCATATGGAATAAAAGCCTTTTTGTAAGCTGACCCTTATTGTTACCTCTTGGACCTCATCTGCTTCTTCTCCCCTTACTCAGTCTACTCCAGCCACTCTGGCCTCCTTGCTATTGGGTATCTGTCATCTCCCCAGGGAGGCTTTACCTGACAATTCTGATGAAAATGCAACTTTCTTTCTCCTCGCCTCTTCCTAACCCACATTTTTCAAACTGGAAACAGAAGACTCAGTGAGGTTAACTAATTTGCACAAGATCATCAAATTAGTAAGTGGCAGAGATGTGATTCAACTCTGGTGTTATGTTCATTTAGAGGCACATGGTCCTAACCTCTGCATGGTAGGAAGCAGTGGAGTAGTGCCAACAGCTCTGTAGAGCAGGGTTTAAAATACCCTTCCGCGATCTGCATGGGGCTTGCCTCCCCACATCCAACTCAGTATAGTGCCCTCGCACCTCTGGTCATCCCAAGTGCTATGGCCTTCTTTTCACACCCTCCCAGCCCTCAAAGCCCCAGCTCCCCCTTGTCTGGCTACTTCTTAGTCATCTTTCAAGTCTCAGTTTAGACATCACGACTTCCAGGAAGCTTCCTGTCTCAAGTTCAGAAAAAGTGGCGCCCAGCGTGAACTTCCATAGCAGTGTTAACTTCCCAGGTTATAGCATTTATTGTGGCAAGTACCCATTCTGCTTTTCGTTTTCTATTCTCCATTTCATTCACTGCTGTGTCCTCACAGCTTTCACACTGCTTGGGACATAGTCAGTACGCCACGGCAAGTCGTATTCGTCAGTTTTGTTATTTCCAGGGCTTAGCTTAGTGCCTGACCTCCCCTATGGCTCAAAATACATTAAGTGAATAAAGTAATGAATTACACGCGAACGTAAGTTTAGACCATTTGCTAATACTTATAAATATTATGCTATCCGGATGCAATCTCCTGGCATTTCTGAATGTACACAGCATGTATATGTATCGCTCTGTCAGAGCTGTCCATTTAAAGCGGTACGCCTACAGAGCTGGCCCACTCCGTTTGGATTGTATTACCTGATTGCACAGGTTGTTGTTCACCACCCGGCACAATATCCTGAAGTGTGTATTGTTCTCCCGTTAGTAGGTAATTGTTTCTATACTTGTGAGTTTTGTATATGTATATTTATAAATGTGACAATTCGCTTTGTCTCGCTTGTCATGTAGTATTCGCGATTCCTAAATTATCCCAAATGCCTAGATTAATAATGCAAAACAGCAGTTTTTATTCAGGCAAATTGCATGTTAGCATCACGGGCTTCTGTGTCCTCTCTGTTCACTAATAATTTGTTAGAAAAATATACGCTACAGAGACGCTTAATTACAGACAAGTGTAAGTAACTCATTTGTTATTAAAGACGCGGCCTGGGCCACATCAACAACAGACCAGCATTTTGCCCAGCCTGGGCTGACCCGCTCCAGTCCCGCAGAGAAACTACAAATCTCAGCATGCAACGCTGCACAAAGCGCTAGGGGTCCTGCGAACAGCGCCGCGGTGGACTCTGGGGTTTGTAGTACCCGACCCGAGCCCGCCCGTCACCGCCCGGATACTCACCGGACCCAGCCACCACCAAGAGGCTGAGAGACCGCCGGGGCACAGCGGCGCGGGGACGCAGCACTGCCCATAGCCGCACTGCCAGCAGCACGGCCACGGCTCCTGCCGCCGCCGCGAGGATAAGGGTGCCACCCATTCGAAGAGAAGACGCATGCGTGCTATCCCCCGACGCCGGCCGCAGGAGCGGTGAAAGTTCAAAACTACGGGCGCTGCGGAGACCCAAACTCGAAGTGTGAGCCTCTTGGTGGGCGGGGCTTGTTGGCGGTGGGAGGAGTTCAGGGCCAGAGGCGGAAGCCTGGCCTCTGACCACCCCGCTGGGTGCCCCGCGGGAGTCTGCGCACGTACAGCCCATGCGTAAACTGAAATTCGCGGATTAAAGCGCTGGAGGAGTTTTGGTTTCGATTCGTGAGGAGGTGAGGCCAGCTGGGCGCCCTAAAAAGGACCTACCAAGTTAGCAGGTGTTCCAAATTAACCAACTTTGTGAATTCCACCTGAGGCCAGTGGCATACGTCGCCTTTTTTTTTTTTTTTGGTGCCAAGGGAAATGTTTCTGTTACACAGCTACTGAAAGTGCTTGCCAGTGAAAGGTACCTTAGTACAAAAAATTGAATTTCGGGTTCTCATCCAATTCTCCTCTTTCCCAGGCACTCATATTTTTAATTTTTCTAGTCTTTTTCACAGATCTCAGTGTGACCAGAGTAGCCACCTGAGGGTGATCACCTCAAGTTACACCATGTTCCTAAGAGCAGTGGAAGTTCAGTGGCTCAAGGTAGTGAGATAGAGAAATAATCGTCCTATTCAGTTAATTTTACCGCAAAGGCAACACCTCCCCCAATCCCAATTTTGCTTATTTTTATGTTTACTTAATCCACATTGTAGCAATATAAAAAGGCTGAGATTAGAGAAGCCCCTTCACCCCAAGTGTAATTTGCCTTCAGTCCCCAATGGACCTGTAGGTTAGATAGGACAAGTATACAGATGAGTAAACAAGTCCAGAAAGGTGAAACAGCTTGCTCAAGTGAAATAGTGGCAGATGTAGATTTAGAAACTGGAAACCCTAACTGCTGCTGCATAGCAATTTACGCCATGTATTCCTTTGCCAAATTCAAACTTCCTTGATTTTCAAACTTGCTTAGATCCTAGAATGTGCTTTTAAAAATGCAGCCTTGGGCTTCCCTGGTGGTGCAGTTGTTAAGAAGCCACCTGCCCATGCAGGGGACATGGGTTTGAGCCCTGGTTCGGGAAAATCCCGCATGCCGCGGAGCAACTAAGCCCGCGAGCCACAACTACTGAACCCCGGGCGCCTAGAGCCCGTGCTCCACAACAAGAGAAGCCACCACAATGAGAAGCCCGCGCACTGCAATGAAGAGTAGCCCCTGCTAGCCACAGCTAAAGAAAGCCCGCACGCAGCAACGAAGACCCAATGCAGCCAAAAATAAAATAACTAAATTTATATATAAAAAAAGAATGCAGCCTCTCAGGGTACAATAGGGAGCTCCTGAATCAGAATCTCCAGGGGAGAGGACTGAGATCAGCTCCTCTAACCAATGTGTCTATTTCTATCAGCAGGCAGTTTGGGAGACATTTAGGTACTTTGTAGCATCATTTTCTGGCTAATGGACCTCACATACTTCCTTATTCTATCAAATCCTCTTAACCCTATATCCTCACAATAACGTTATAAGGTGAATATTATTCCCCTCTTTACAGGTAAAGAAAAAGATTCTATAAAAGTTAAATGATTTGCCTAAGGTTAGCTAGTGGGGAATTCCCTGGCAGTCTAATGGTTAGGACTCGGCGCTTCCACTGCAGGGGGCACAGGTTCCATCCCTGGTCAGGGAACTAAGATCCTGCATGGTGTTAGTAAGTGGTGGAGAAATTTTATAATTGTGGGCTTAGAAGTCAATGCTTCTCAAATTTTGATGGAATCAGAATCCCCTGGGCTTACAAATACGTAGTTGCAAGTCCAGAGGTAGGGCCTCTGGCGCAGTATGAAAAACAGTTTAAGAATATTACAAAAAGATGTAGTTTTATTTCATCTGCCCACTCTGCCATTCCCAGCAATGGCTTCAGCCTAAGACTCTCTCCCATCATACTTTTAGAAGAAGACATTAGTTGTCTCAGAAATTTACATCCAGGCAGGGCAGTCTCCAGATTTCAAGAGGTTATCTTGTCCTTGGGTCTTTTTTTTTAAGAGTGAGGAAACCTTTTCCAGAACCTCCCACAGCAGACTTTCACTCCTTTTGGCCAAATTTATATCACTTGCCCCTTCATAAAAGGAATGAGACCACAAATCTGGCTGAGGTAGGGTGGAGGATGACATACAACTCACCTGTGGTACCTGGCTGTTTGGTGGAGGGTGAGTACTGAACAAAACAGGCATTCTCCTGGAGAGGAGGATGTTGGGGGAGGGTGGAGGAAAGATCATTGCTGGGTAGGCAAATAATAGTATTTGGATTGCTGCAAAGGTAATGCATCTGAGCTGGTGTTGTAAACTGACACAGGCAATGCAGATGTTTGGCATATTAATAATGTTAGTCTCTAGGCCCCAAAAGATACCCCTGCATTCCCTAGTACCCATTCCCTCACTACTGTCATTACCTGTGTCTGTACGAAATATCAGTTTGACCACACTTCGTTGTAGATGGAATGAATAGGGAGTGATCAAGCATTTTAGTGGCTGCCAGTAAATGCAGAGAGTCAAAGAGGGTGGAATAGCAGACATTGTTTGGAGTTATTGGTTGAGTTAGTTTGAATTAAGTCTAGGGTCAAACTGTTCAGTGTTCCTGACAAGGAAGTTGAGGACTGCAGGGAGGAGCTGGGTGGCAGGTGGAGACAGGAACACAGTTGGGAACTCCTGAACACAATAAATCAGGAGTGTTTTATTCACCCACAAATTGCTGGGTGAGCTGAGTCCTGGGCTGTGACAGGCACGGAATATAATTAAGAGGTGAATAATATGTACTGGATTAATCAGAAGAGGCAGGACTGAACAGGACGAAGCAACTAAAATTTCTCTTGGGGAGGTAAGTTGCACAGACAGTGCAGCTAACAAATGCACAGAGGTAAATTATACTGTGTGAAAAGCATGAAAATGTATTAATAATGGATAAACTGAATAATAGTATTGAGCCATACCAATCATAAGTAAAGTCTGCCTGAGAAGTGATTTTTATTATCTTCTTAAATCAATTTTCTAAAGTTTCTGTGACAAGTATTATTCATGAATATTTTTAAAATTAAGATTATTTTGCACTATTGAATGGAGCTGTACTTGTTAATTTAGTCAACATATTTAATGAGCACCTGCTATGTGCTAGATTTAGGTGCAGGGGATCTTGTATGACAGTAGTAGTCCAGACTAAAACCTTAGACGAGGAAGGTGACAGTGGAAGGTAGAAGAGGGTAGATTTGAGATATATTTTATGGATAGAGTCAGTAAGACTCGTTGACGGATTAGGTATTGGGAATCAAAGTGGCTCTTAGATTTTTGGCTTCAAAACTGGCTGGATGGTGTCATTTGCTCCGACTAGACAGACAGGAAGAGAAACAAGGTTTTGTGAGCAGAGAAAGGGGAGGAGATGATGAAAATGAAGTGTTCTGTTTTGGATGTTAGTTGGAATAACCTGTTAAACATCCAAGTGGTTGTGTCAAATGGGCAGTTTATGTATAAATCTGAAGTGCGGGTTAGAGCTAGAGGTATAAATTTAGAATTCAGCATATAGATGGTATTTAAAGCCATGGGACTGGGTGAGATCACCTGGGGAGGGAATTTAGGTCAGTCCTGTCCAACAGAAGTTTCTGCAATGATGGAAATGTTTTGTGTCCATGTTGTCCACTAGACACATGGCCTGCTGAGCACTTGAAATGTGGCTAGTGCTATGGAGGAACCGAATTTTAATTTTATTTCATTTACATTATTTTAAATTTAAATACACTGGCATTAGCCAATGGCTAATGTATTGGATAGCTTAGGATAGAGACGAGTCTGGGGTCATTAATATTTAGAGGTCTAGTCAAGAAGACTGGGCCAGCGAAGAAGATGGAGAAGAAAAAGCCAGGAAGATAGGAGGAGAATCAGGAGATAATGGTGTCCACAAAAACCACAGGAGGAAAATGATTCAAGAATGGGAGTGCAGTTAGCTATGTCATATGCTGCTGATACGTGGCATTAGGTGACTTGGGAACAAATTAGTCACTGGGGATCTAAACAGGAGCAGCATTACCATGGAAGGGTGGTTGTGGAAGGCAGATAGAAATGGGCAGAGGAGAGAATGGGAGATGAAGAGAAGCAGTGTCTGTAGACAGTCATTTCAAGTTTTTCTTTGGAGGGGAATGGAAAAATTGGATGGAAAATATGGGAGAATTTGTAATCAAGGAAACGATTTTTTTTTTCGGATAGGAGTTAACTGACATATTTATTTGATGTTAAAAATGATCCAATAAAGGGAAATTGATTTAGGTGAGAAAAAAACATTTATCTTAAACATGAAAAGGGTTGGAATCTTGAGCACAAGGGGAGCAGTTGGGCTTTGATAGGAGGGACCCTTATTCCACGGTAACAGAATGGAGGGCAGGGACATGGATGCAGGTCCTGGGAGGTTTGTAGAATTGGCGGTGAATAGATAAGGGTGTGGAGACTGGGGGTACAGAAGAGTATGAGAAGCTCAAGAAGAAAGAAGGTATGAAATAATCACCTTGAAGAGTAATTGGCATACGCAGGATCAGCCTAGGATTTCGGGGCAGATTGGGATGCCCATTTGTAGCTTGTGATAACAAATAGAGAGAGAAACCAGTCGGCGTGATTTTATGTCTTTTCCCCCCACTGGAAAAGGCAGACAGTTGGCTTTAACCACAGTTAGATTTTTGACAGGTGACTACATAAGAGAGAAGGTTCTTTTCAAGGGAGTGAGGTCCATGGAATTTCCTCTTGACATAGTGGTAAGTGAAGACAGGGAAGTGGAGGTGGGACAGTGGATGAATCGTGGAAGAGTATAAGGCCAGTGGACTGGAGGCCTAAAGAAAGTTGAAAACTTGCAATGAAAAACTAGAGTCAGTGAACTATAGATATAAGAGGTGGTGATCAGAGAGTGGGATGCTTGAAGTAAATATTGTGTTATTGGTGGTGGTAGTATTTAGGGTATGACAATAGGAATGGATGAAAAAGATCATTAGGGGTCACTAAGGGGTAGAGAGGAAGAAAATGAGCTAGGAACTCAAGTCTTCAAAGAGAGGTTGAAAGATGACAGCAACCAAAAAGAGCATTGATTATAAGCTAGGTATGTTCCATTTGTCCTTCCAGATCCACGCTTCTCCACCCCACACAGTGCCATGGGAGCCCAAACCTGGATTAA